TGATGTGATTGCACAAATGCAAGCAACTTGGCAATAAATACACGCCCAGTGAACTATGACTTGACAATAATAAGCAATGATTCTGCACATTTAAGGCTCAACTCTCCTACAACAGTGGATGACTCACCTACTGACACACAGATATGGCTGTTCATAAGTCAAATATGTCCATAAATTTCAAAGCCTGGATTTGTTCATAACTTGCCTGAGTTTTTACACAAATACAGAGGTTATATATATTTGGTACCTTCATTCCATATCATCTGTAATTATCTTAAAATTATACGAAACCAACAATATGTAACTGTGAGAAACCCTCTGAGAGTAATATATACACCTGTTACACAATGAGGCAGAGGTTGGAGGGCTTGGTTCTAAATACAGTTCGATAACATGCTATTCTTTTATAATAAATTAACATCATGTAAACTAGGCCCATCAAACATTTAATATTTTTAACAGTATGGCATTAATTGATCTTGCGCCATTTAATTGTACTGTATCCTGCTTTTAGAGGATCAATTAAACTGACTGGCCTCTGAAGTATTATGTTTAGCATGGCAGTTGACATTTTAACTCAGTATTTTCAGCTGATAGCATGCTACTGAGGGAGTGCTTGCTTTATTCATAAATATTCTGAGAAGAATTTGTGATTTCTATCTTTGCTCAAATGTTTCTGTCTACAGTGAGAAGTTAGCAGAATTTTAAATTAACAATTCTTCACCTCAGTGGTAAACAGTTACAACTCAAACAAGTTTCCAGGTGACAGAGCTATCATTGTATAACTTTATTCCAAATGGTGGCTTAGCCTTACTTTTTGCACCTTAAATTGCAGATTTCAGTTTCATTGAAGGAAATTATTCTGTACCAGTAGATGAACCTCACTCCAAAAATTTTATTGTAACTAGAAGTATTAGGGCACTCAGTAGCATACTACAAGGTCACGGGTTCAAATACCAATGATATCACTAGATTTTTCAATTGACTTAATCCTTCCAGCTGCACTATGGCCCTGGGGTCAACTCAGCCTCTAACAGAAATGAGTACCAGGAATCTTCCTGGGGGTAACGGGCAGCAGGTGCATAAGGCTGACAACCTAACAACCATCTGTGAGCTGTTTGTCTAGGAAATGTGGAAGCCTCGATGTCTCACTGCCGTATGGGCCTCCACGGCCTGTTACAGGGATAGCTCTACCTTTAGAAGTATCCAGGATATGGCTGTTTTCCCTTACAGTACCACAACCCATAGCAGGTACTAAAACTCTTTAGACACTGTAAAACTCAAATTAAGAAATTAAAGTTAAATGTATAGGTGAACTTATCAAGTATGCTTACTTAATTAGGAATAACAAATAATAATAATAATAATAATAATAATGAGGGTCTCAACTGCATCCAACAACCTACAACTCTGGCAGAGTATCTGCACATCCCTTGAATAGTTTTGGCTACTTCACACATTGGCCAATATATGAAGTAATTTTCATAACACTGTTGGTTGTTTTCTCTTATATCCACGGTAGTAGGACAGAGAAAAGTTGCACTCTTACATGTGCTCAATTATTAGGAAAGTTGGCTTTACTACTGAGATGCCAGAATTACACAACTTAACATGATGTCTTCCTGTGCACATTTCCACTAAGTTACTACAGATTTAGGCCGCGCCATAGCTCAAGCGGTTAGTCCCCGACTTCCCACCGCGGTGGCCGGGGTTCGATCCCGGGTCTCGTCAAGTGGGATTTGTGGTGGACAAAGTGATGCTGGGGCAGGTTTTCTCCGAGTACTTCGGTTTCCCCTGTCAATCTTCATTCCACCAAATTCTCCACAATCACCCTCACCTATCATCTGGGGCTGGTACAACAGGCCAGAAGTAGCCGCAGTACAAGGAACTTAGTCCCACCCCACTAGCAATAAAAAAAAACTAGATTTCAACTACATAAAAACTGTAAGACTAATTGGAAAGTTTCCTACTGTCACCATATGCGCAATTTTTAACACAAAGAAAATGTTTCATATAAATGAGCTGGAATAGCTAAGCTGGTCCAGTGACTGGTTTCAGGTGGATGCGTTTAATATCTGGAAGGGATTTTTATAGTTACTGTCACATTGAGACCGGCTCTGGGGCCAACTACACCTCTTATTCAGTGGGTACTATGGAGGCTGCTTGTCTTTCCTAAGGGTAAAACAGATGAAATGTAAAATTGATCACTTGCCACCATCCTGTATCAATGTTAAGAATGTGTGGAGCTATTCCTTCAAGTCCCTCACATCTTCAAAGTGTTTCGCTTAACCTTCATCTTCCAGAAACTGAGGATTTGAATCTTCCATTACAACAGCACTGGTGGCCAAATTTCAACTTGGCGGTAATGGATTTATATTATAAACAGTGCGACACAAGATGCGTGGAGCCTAATGGACTCACTCACGTGCTAACATACACATGCCATGCAAAACAATGAAGGCTGAGCACAGAGGCAACTTTACCTTATATTAAGTAATGATGAACTATCTCTATACCAAAACTCCCACATCCAACTGTGACTATTTCTCAACTATCAGCAAGAAATTGACAGATGCTTGGACTCTGTGCAGTTACCATTAAATTACTTTACCCAATTATTTTAAAGATCTATCACCACAAAAAGCATTTGGACCATCCATCAATCAAATTGTTTCCATCATTCACACTTCATAAGTCTTGTTAATATTAGTAACAGAAGGAAATGCAGCCATAAGAATATGAGATCAGAAAAGAGGGGGCTGAGACAGACATGATTCCACAATTCTATTTTTCTTATACAATCAGAAAAGCATGCTTAAAAAAGGCAAACAATAATCAAAGAATTGTGAGTCAAAACTAATTTTCTTCAACAAAGCTCTGTTGAGGCAATTATCAAGGACCACCTGCATATAGTGTGGAAGCTGAAAAAATTTGGATAATTTTCAGACAACTCTTCTCATTGCTGTTAGTACAGTAAAACTTGGTTATAGCAACATCGGTTTCTGCGACACCTTGTCTATTGCGTCAAATATTCAATGGTACGAACTAATTCCTCATAAAGCAACTGTTTTTATACCTTGCTTAGTACGACATGCACAAATGCATCAACCTCGTATGTAACGTCATTTTCATTCCTGAATTTCTCTGATATCGTGGGAAAGTTCGATGTGTCTGCCCNCATTGTCTACTTACCCTATAGTGTTCCTGCCTAAACCTAGAGAAGTGCAGTAGCGAAAACATGGCAATGAAAAGGAAAGTTTTAAGCACTGAAGAGAAAGTTAAAGTGATTCGTGAAATAGAAAATGTAAGGAAAAAAGCTGATGTATGCCGCGAATTTGGTTTGGTGAATTCTACAGTACAAACGATATGGAGAATCCATATTAATTCCACGTTAATGTTACGTTAGTCTGTTCTTAACTATGTAGTTCACTAAAAATGCAACATTTTAACTCTGTTTTTGGTAGATTTTTACGTGACTAACATAAGGCTACTGTGGAAGTGCCCATTTCCGTTACGACATTCGTTTATAACGACACTATTTTTAGGTCCCTTTGATGACGTTATAACCAAGTTCTACTGTATATGGAAACTCAGTACTTCCTAAAAGAAAAGCAAAAAGATGAAAGTTAACCAGTCCCACCCACCATCTGCCTCGTCTTCTCTTCACTGAAGGAGAATACTAATACTCCTACTTCTCAGATGCTGCATAATTTTCACTGGTTTAAAATTAAAATTTTATTTCAGTTTACACTGTGCTGTGTAAGTGAGAAGGGAGGCAAGGTAATTCTCCATAAGCATTATCACCAGTACAGGTACAATAGGACATATGGAAGCAGATGTGCCGAGGGGACCTAATATGGATTCCACCTCACACTATATGAAATCTTAACTAGGGTAATATATTGTAAACAATTTTAAGTATTGTGGCTTTATTCTCTTATTGTAATTAGCCAACATATAGTATATGACTTGTCCTATATCATGTAACAGTGATCTATAGACGAAATAAATAAATAAATATATTGCTTATGATTGTAACAAATGTTGGTAGTATGCGTGTAACTCTGTAGATTTGTTTTGTTAACTTGTATTGCCAAATGACTTGTCCAAGTGTTACTATGTAGCAAAATGGATGAAAATAAAATACAATACAATACAATACAAAAGGTAAAGCTGTCCCTGTTAACAAGTCGTCGAGGCCCACAGGTTGTGAGTCATCAAGGATCCCACATTTTCTAGACACTTGGCTCACAGATAGCGGTGAGGTTGTCAGCCTTATGCGCTGGCCACACAAGCCCCAGGAAGATTCCTGGTACTCTTTTCTGCCAGAGGCTGAGTCAACCACAGCTGGAAAGATTTGGTTAATTTAAAAATGCAATGACCTGATCGGGAATCGAACCCGCAACTTTTCAGCCTGTAGCATAAATGTGGAGCAGTTCGTGGAATGAGACTTGGCAGCGAAAATTGTAGTACTCAAGAGAGAACCTGCCCCAGTGCTATTTTGTCTACCACATATCCCACAAGACCTGACTGAACAAGGGTCATCAGAGTCAGAAGCCGGCACTAACCACATGGGATATGGCACTGATTGAAAGTGAGGAAAATACAAAATACTTCACTGGTTGAGTGTTTTCTGATCACCTGGTACAGAACCGAATGACTCTAGTAAATCTGCATAGTCTTTCAAAACTGCAAAGTCTCTCCTAAAATCAATAAAGGTGGGAAGGGGGGGGGTGTGTGTGTATATAATATATATGGCCAAGAACATTTAAACATTTGTTTCAAACTGTATTAACATGGTAAAGCAACTTCATTTTGATGGCTTCCTTAAAAAAGGGATTGAATGCCAATAACAAACTGTGCTTTGCTCAAATGATTAAAAATATCATGCATTAATTTATTTGCCGGCTTATAACAGAAAACTTTGCACAAAAAGAACGAAAGGGCACTCCCACTACACTGACAAAATTCTTTTGAGGAAGTTTTGAATCGAATCTTACCAGCTCTCGCATAACCAACAATGCCACCAGCTGCCACTGTAGCGGCATAAGCAAAACCCAAATAGTCGATAGGCATGGTTCAAGTTTGCCTTCTTCAATAATAACAGCCAACACTTTCCAGCCTTCCACACTGCTTATGAAACTGATAATATTCAAATGACAGTGCAATTCTCTAACCAAGAATGACTCGACTGCTTCTTTTAAATTCTTAGCGATAGTCTCCCACCGATTAAGATCGATAGCCTTCACATGTATCGCACGCACATCTGCAAAACGATTTTAGATAATGTTAGGAGAAAGATGTAGAGAAAGAAATGCAACATTATAAATTTATATTAAAAAATACTTTCCACGTAAAAGGAACATGAAATGTGTAAGTATGTAATGCAGTAAACTAGAGTGACTCTGGAACACACACAACAGTATACGATCTCAGTTCTTCTGTTAATTTTGCAAGTTACAAAGTTGCGTCATTCCCATCATTACGACTTATCGACCAGTTACCGACCTTGAATTGTAGTACAGTCACATAAAAAAATAGAGAAGTGTGAAGTGTCTGTAGTATAAGTAGATGTAACATGGCAGGGTTTAGATAATTTGACAGTTGGTCTTTCGTTTCAGTCGGAGTGTTGTTGCATGTTGGTGAGGTTTACGCGAGGGACATACGAAAATTTGTGCCGTAGTTTGACCGGAATAGAGACACAGGAATGTTGAGCCACCTCCCACCAAATGTAAAGAAAATCTGCGTTAATACGGGGAATATACTTAGTTTGAACGAAGTGAAGAAAAAAGCGGGACAGAACCCTACAGATGAAGTAAGTAAACGACTGCTGATCTTTCACTATATGAAGGTTAGGAATAGGAAATATTTTTACGATGTTCGTGCTGTTAGATGTCATATGATCCAATACTCAAGGCCGAAGTGAGTTTGCACTTTGATATATGGCCAGCTTATTCACGGATCTTAACTTGACAGCTAAGTTATTCATGGATCATAACTGGACAGCTCTGTAAAAATTGTTGGTAATTGTACCTATATTAATGATTAGTGCCTTTGTACAACTTTGCTGACTTGCCGGTCTTGTTTTCTTAACACTGTCCATGAAAGATTTAATATTTGTTATTAATTTTATTCAAAACTTTTTCAGCTCATAGAAAGCTTGAGGATCACATTAGCTAATTGTCAGCCGTCCAGCAATGCTGGTGACACTATTCAAGTAAGTCATTTTAAGAGTAATATTTGTTCCATGATAGTTCTTGAAGGATGGGTACATGTAACAATAACAATCTCAGAAACTTGATGTTCAGTCATTTTTATCATACGTGAAGATTAATATTAATCAGCTTCAGTTCTGCAAGTTGAATAGTGGTCTGCTTAGAACAAGTTATTATCTATTTATTTTCACCCCATGTAAAACTGATATAATGGTAACACACTCCTCGAAAACACTGTCTGCAAGGTAGATGATGATTCTCATTCACAAATAAGGCTACCCTGCAACAACCTGTAGAACTTAATGTTATATAGATTGACAGTCAGTTAAGTATAATTTTGGAAACTGAAATACAAGGGTTGGATAAAAAGTAGTGGCAACACTGCTGTAACATGAAAGATGTGTGTCAGGTGGCACTAGCGCCGTCTATAGCTGATAGCAGAAGTTCAGTTGAAGTAGTGCAGTGAGTGGCTCTGGTTGTGTTTCATTGAGCTGCATTGTGCCTTGTCTTGAAGTGCAGGAGCCCAGTTAAAGCGCCCTAAGAACATGTTTACGAAACAAGAACAATGCTCCTGCATAAAAAAGTTGCACGAGGTCATAGTGCACAAAACTGTTATCAGGGACTACGAAAAGCATGTGGTGATGCTGCTTTGCCATATCGCACAGTGGCACAATGGGTGAAATTGTTCCGTGAAGGGAGGGATGCCATTCAGGACAGCCATTCTTCAGGACGACCCCATGAACCACACAATTCAGCTTCTTCTTTGCTGGATGTCGATTGTCGATGGGCTGTGTGGGAGTTAGCTGCTGAGGTAGGCATATGTCACAAAACTGTGCTCCACATTCTGCACGATATTCTTGGATACCAGAAAATTGCAGCGTGTTTGGTACCCCATACAATGACCGGTGTGCAACAATGGCAACGTTATGCATCTGCACAGGACTTGTTGGACCGTACCAGAGGGAAGGTGACGACTTCCTAGGAAGGATCGTCACTCTGGACGAAACTTGGGCTCACTCATACAAACCGCACTTGAAGCGACAATCAAATGAATGGAAGCATCCTGGCTCTCCTCATCCAAAGAAAGTGCGCCCTACACAGAGTATGTGAAGGCAACGTTCATTGTGGCATATGACATTGACGGAGTGATACTGCTCCACACTGTACCTCAATGACAGAGTAAACGCTGCCTACTACTGCAATTTCCTGTGTAATCATCTTCATCCAGCACTCAGGAGAACGTGATGACACTTGTTGTCATCCTTCATGATAATGCAAGGGCTCATACTGCTGACACTGTCAAGGACCTCCTTCGCCACTGGCAATGGGAGATACTGCAACATCCACCATACTCACCCTATATGAGTCCGTGCAATTATAATCTCTTTGCCAAAATGAAAGAACCACTGCGAAGGACACGTTACAAAACAAGAGAGGAGATTATTCATGCTGTAGGGCAGTCACTGCTGACATCAACAAAAGTGGATGGGCTGATGGCGTACGACGCCTTCCACAAATTTTGCAGAAGGTTGTACACATGGTGGGCAATTATATTGAAGGAATGTAAGTGTGTTTACCTCAGGTAATAAAACCGTTTCAGAAATATAGAGGCGTTGCCACTACTTTTTATCAAACCTATATATGTGCAATAAGTAATTAATGAATATATTACTTTTATGGTATTTTGTCAGATGTGTGAACAAGCTCACATTCTTCCATACAATGTGAGAAATAAGGGAGACATTGCTGGGATTGAGAGGCTCTCATCACATCAAACAGTCATTACTATTAGACCACTGTATGCAGAATTGATTAAAATAAGATTATGCAAATTAACTAATCTGACATTACTAATGACATACTTAAATTATAGTAGAATGTTTGTTGCGTGCATATTGTGTATTGTGTGTGTGTGTTTATTTTTCTGCTTATATTTTGTTTTAATCCAATCATTTTTGTCTGCCTGAAATATCTTTCTTCATTAGTGAGGTGTAAAACATATTTTATTGGTGTACTTTATTTCTGTGTATTCAAAATGTGTATGTAAGATGAATCAAATATTTCAAAATAAAAGTTAAAAAATAATCACAAAACTTCTGTACAGATGTAGCATACATATTGCAAATAATTCATTTTGCCTGTTTTCCAGTGTGATTTCATGTCAGTCAAACTAGCTGACTACACACAAATCCTTGACCATCAACGTATATCAGTGTGTCTATACTTACAGGTTTACCGGATGGAAGATGGGCTTGGATCCAAACTTGATTCCGAAGAAAGAAAAGGGTTGAAAGTTAGTGTCAAAGTTTTCATATCATCCCTGAAGAAAGAGGCTCTGGTAGAAGCACTCGATAGTGGTAAGAATTTAACATCACAAATGGAAGGTTTTCCGATGAGACATGATTTTTAGCCAGTTCTATCCAACAACATATTTATATACAGTCCATTTTAATAACATATATCACTTTTTCCATGGCTTTCTGACCATTTTCCAAGCAGTTCCCCCACCAAAGTCCTACATGCAATTCTTGTTTTCCCATCCATACTGCATGCCAAGCCCATCTTAAATCCTGTTAAAAATACTGGTACATGAACAAATTCAGACATTATAAATTTGTTCTGGCAACCTGAAACAACTTTTAGGTTTGAGGGTTCTCACAGTGGTGGTTGTGAACAGTTCTGTCCTCTGGGATATAAACAATGCGTAGTCTGTTGAAAGTCAGCCGATGTTTCAGAGGAACATTTTACCTCCATCTTCAGAGTTGAACAGTAATCCAAGCAAGAAACCAGCATGAAGCAGGCAGCAAGGCAACATGTTTCTCCAAAACACCGGTTGACTTTCAGTGGACTACGCAGCATTATATCCAAGAAGATAAAACTCTTCTGAAACATATTGTAACATGTTGGCTGTGTGATGCGACATGAATAAATTGCGTTGGTCTTCAGATCAGAACATTTTTTTATTGGACACTTATTTGTACATACACTCATACAATTATTCACTTAAAGCGCTATTACTCCGTTAGTACACTCTGGAACTCTTCTGCAAAGTCTAAGCACAACCTGCTTCTGTCTCGATAGAGTCGAATCCAACTGTGAGTTTGCTCAGAATCTCTTGTGATACTTGTTATCTCATGATACTGAACTCTCACCAGAGCTACACTCTCTTATATATCCCACGACCAGACGGGACAAGGAATACCTTCTCGAAGGGTTAATTTCATCCATTGTTGCACAGTGAACAATCCGTTGCTTAGGAAATGCTAGCCTTGCTCAATACAGAATACCTTGTAGAGTGTTTGGTTTCGTCTCCGGGGAAATGCGTTGGTTGTTTGGGGTAATCCTATGCAGTGGCCCACTGTTATTGCGTTTCAATGGAATTATCCCTTTCAGACTCAACATTTGACAATATTTTTGTGGGGAACCAGCTGTTTCATAATAATGTTCATGCGGTAGCCATATCCATTCTCTCTGTGGTAAAGTGGACTTCCAAACCAATAAACTTGATTTATATCATATTTATTTTAATTTTTGTTTGCAGTGTTTGCTGCACTACAGACGTCATGTATAGAATCAGTGGTTCTTGCTTACCCATGTAAAGCAGTGGCAAGCCTCCTCCTATCTGGGCTGAAGGAGCTATGGCTGGTGCTGGAGGAGTATGTGCAGCAACAGAAGCTAATCAGCATTGGTGTCAGTGATGTTGAGACGGATGTCTTCATAGCGTTGTACAACTGGGCTAAGGTAGGTTGATGTTACTATGCATGGACATTTTGTTTGCATTTTAAAATGTGCTAAATAATCAAATAATCTCTCAAGAAGATAACGTGCAACTGACTTGGAACAAGAATAACATAAAAGTAAACATGCTGGTGATTGAAGTTTCTGGAGAGATACGTAGACTTGACTGACCATCAAGGTGCCATGAATAATAAATAAATGAAGTCTGTTCTTTATGCATATGTTTTTGAATTATACAAGCAGAAATATAGATACAGCTCCATTCCAATGTACAGTGTTCAGAATTATATAAAGTTGTGTGACTGAACTTTAGGAAGCTATTAACAGGAGACATTGGAGCAGAAAATGGAAGAAACAATTACCCAATTTTCCACTGTTTCACAAGTAAAGCATTTCAAACTTTAAGTCTTAATTTTTTTGTATTTTTATGTGGTGAATCCTTCATGACTTCACAGAACAGAGGTAATACTGTGTTTGCGTTGGCTTACATTACTTCTAGTGACAAAGTAATGACAAGAAGCATTATTTACTAATGTGGAGTATGTCGATATGCATGGCATTTTGATGGAAGTGCTGTTGGTATCAGGATTGGAGGCAATGCAATAGCTGTGTCTACAGTGCTGTACTGAAGTCAGATGGAAATTGTGCATTCAAGTCACCAGGACAAGTAAACAAAGGCAGTTACAGTGTGCAGAATTAAGAGGAAGAAAGTGTTGGATGCTGTTATGTACTAGTCCATTCACTGGAACTTGTTGGGTCACATATAAAGACAAACCTCTCTGAGAGTCCAGTTTGATGTTTAGTGCATGTTACAAAAGGAGCAGTTATATCCTTTTCACATACAACTAGTAGAAGGGCCATCAGTTCTGTCAGTGGCTTCTACACAGACCTGTAATGAACCTGTCTTTTTGTGCCTGGTGTTGTAGATTGATGAGGCATAACATATGTGAATGGGTATGGGGGAATCCTCAAGATCGTTGATACTGCCACATTTCAACAAAGATTCAGCATCAATATCTGGCCAGAAATGTTGGTGATTATCTGATTGACCCATATGTGACAGTGAATCATCTCAGTGGAATCCAGTATGCTAATTTCCTTACTAGAACACTTCCCCTTTTATTGGATGATATACCCTTTAGTGTTCATGATGGTAACCTCATCACTCTTAATACACCAAGTGCATAATGATTTAGCAGCCATTCTCTGGATGCATGGAGCAGTGATGTGGGTGTTATCTTCACATCTTAACATCATACTGATCTGGACTTGCTCCATATTTTCCTATGGGAATGTATCAGAGAGAACATCTATGCTATGAAGCACAAGATCCTGAGAACCTGATCAGCTGCAACAGACATTAGGGGGCAAGTTATATATAACTGGTTCATACCAGGTACTCTATCCCATGTCACTGTGAACTGTGGGTGTCAGATTGAGGAAATTGCTTTGAGCAGTTCTTGTGAAATGTTACATGGAACTGCATGTGAATTCCAAATACACATAAACATAATGTAAAATTAAAAGTGAAGTGACCTAATAACTTCAGAATCTTTGGTCTTTATCCATTGCAAGTACAAACAATGAATATAATATAACAGAAATAATCAAATTTGTATGCAAGAACAACTGTTACATTTTTTAAAAAGTGGTATATGTCACAACTGAACAGTGGTAATGGTCACACAACCGTTTACTGACATTTTCTTTTCCAAATTTTACCCCAAACAACCTCCTAAAATTTGGCCGTATGACTTTGCATCACTCTGTATATTTCAGGAATATGGACACTAAGACATTCCTTAATTTTAAAGTCTCATGTATTCATTGAATTTTGCTTTCAAAATGTTGTATTCGGGTTAGAGCATTATACATTCTGGAGCTGAGCATGCCATGCATGGCATGCTCAGCCAACCCAATTAGCCAACCCAGTTTGGACTTTTCTCCCATTTGGATCCCCATTATCAGCAATGAAGTCACCAATTCACATAGAAGATCTGTATGATGTGTATATGCTTTTATTTATTTCTATTAAGTTCTAAATTAGATAGACATGATTTACTCCATTGTTGACGCTGGTTTAACACTATTAGTTTTTGGTCACTAGTTCTTCTTTCTATTCCATGCCGTGGGGTCATGGACCTGGTTATGAGTTTAGTTTCCTAGCATACATTTCTACAGATCCATCTATCCTGGTTCCTCGCTTGTAAGTGTTTGCTACAATTTGTCATGAATATTTTTCTTATTAGCGCTCATGGACTTAGCCTGGTCTCAGGTGTTTATAATCTTCATGTTTCGTGACATTGGTTTGTCCAGTGATTGAGGCTAGCTCTTTCTAAGGGACCCAACTGAATAGGTGTTTTCCTTCACCTGAGGACGGAAACAGATCCAGTTTCCGAAACGTCGTGTTTTTGTTAGCTTAAAAACTAGGACGATGGATATAGTCCAGAAACCCAATATATCAGTGTGTTATACACCATCGTCAGAATCCTATAGTAACTACTAGTCCTAGGGGATATATATAGAGGACTAACTGCATTAGCTGCTGGGGATACCTTGATCATTTTGACTGTTTAGGAAGTCCTCCACTGCAGAAATGATGTCATCATTGTCTTGGAATTGTTTACCACAAAGTGGCTTCTTTAGCCATGGAAAGAGGAAGAAGTTGCTCAGTGCCAGGTCTGGTGAATGTGGTGGATGGGGGAGAATTTCATATCCCAAACTGGCCGCCAGTGTCATCATAGCATGAGCAACATGAGCCGGTGCATTGTTGTGACAAAGTCGAACACCTTTTCCCAGCATTCTGTGTCAGATTTTCTTGATTTCCTCCCATAATTTTCTCAGAAGGTTATGGTAGTGCTCGCCAGTAATGGTGTCGCCCTTTTGCACGTAGTTGGTCATGCTGACACCCCACCGATCCCAGAACACACTCAACATCACCTTTCCTGACAACAGCTGGGATTTAGCCTTTGGTGGCAGCGAGTCTGCATGTTTCCACTGCTTGCTCATTTCCTTTGTTTCAGGGTCATAATGATACACGCAACATTCATCCATCATGACCAGGCAGTTGAAAAATTCCACCTTTTCATCTTGACACAACTGCGAAAGTTTCTTTGCCACATCCATCCGTTGCTGCTTTTGAATTGGTGTCAACAATCATGGCACCCAATGTGCAGTGACCTTTATCATGTCTAACTCATCATCGATGATGTTGAAAACCGACTCATGGCTAATGTGGACCTCATGAACAATAGCTTCGATAGTTATGTGCCTGTTGGATAGGATCAAAGCATTCCACCTTTGCCAAAATTCCTGGTTCCTCAGCTAGAGATGATCTTCCACTTCGAGGTTCATCTTTGAGGTTTGTCTGCCCACAATGAAAGCGCCTCTTCCACCTGACCACTGTGTCATATGATGGTACACCTTCCTGATACACAGCGGTCATCTGGTCGTGGATGTCCCCGGCAGACATCCCTTGCAAACGGAGGAACTGTATCACAGCGCAAGCCTCCACTTTCTCAACCAATGTCGCTATTTTGCTTCTGCCCCTTATGGAGGCTACCCATGTCCACTTGGTGCAGGAAAATTTGACTGTTCGCGAGTTCAGGAAATGTGCTGTCTCCTATATAGAACGATATTTCTGAATTTTGATTTTCTCATGGTGATAATTAAAACATTATGACTTCCCATCATATCTGTAAAAATGTACCATCATCAGAAACTTTTAGATCTTATATTTTTCATATTTATATTTGTTTGCTTCCTGTTTTGTATCATTAAGGAAACTAATGTGGCCATAAACACACAGTCTATGGGCAAATAAAACTAATATTAATGTGTTAATATTCTTTTTTATTATACATATTAAAGATCCCCCCCAAGTTTTTCATACGTTATAAGGCGGAACCGGTAGATATATTGATTATGCAAGTGTACATGCCAACATCAGAGTATGAAGATGATGAAGTGGAAAAAGTGTATGACACAATTGAAGAAATTCTTCAGGAAGATGGAAGAGGTGACACAAACAGCATCATATTGGGAGACTGGAAAAGCATTGTTGGAGATGAACCATATCAGAATATTGTTGGATCACATGGACTAGGAAGACGGAATCACAGGGGTCAAATGCTTATTGACTTTTGTGAAAGAAATGGACTGATTGTCACCAACACTTGGCTCAAGAAGCCAAAGAGAAGAATTTACACATGAAAGGCACCTGGGGATTGGAGGAGGCATCAGCTGGACTACATCCTTGTGAAACATCGATTCAGAAACAGTGTGAAGGATGTGAAGACGCTGCCTGGGGCAGATATTGACTCTGACCACAACTTACAGGTTGCCAAGTTCCGAACCAGGTTGAAGAAAATTATAGGATTTCAAAAGCGCAGACCTAGATGGGATTTGGAGAAGTTATATGCTCAAAGACAAAGCGTGCAAGAGACTCTAGAAGAGAAACTCGGTGCAATTGAAGGTGAAAGCGGAAATGCTGAAGCGCAGTGGAGCAATATAAAAGAATGCACGTTAGATACTATCAGTGATTTGGGTGGTAAAGTTGAGAAGATAGCAAGAAAACAATGGGTTACACAGGAGATGATGAGTAAAATGGAGGAGCGAAAGAAATGGAAGAATGTCAACAATGAAGAAGGCAGGAGGAAATACAGGAGACTGAGGAATGAATTGAAAAGAGCCACGGACAGGGCCAAAAAGGAATATCTTGAGAAGATATGTAATGAGATTATGGAATTTCAAAGAACAGGCCGTTATGATTTGATGTACATGAAGACAAAAGAACTAGGATGGAAAGAGAATCATGGGATTCAAAATGTTGGCATCGAAGACTCCCAGGGGAATAGAATAGTAGATCAGAGGCAAGTGCTGAAAATTTGGGAAAATTATATTTCAGAACTATATGATCGACCTAATCGGCCAGAAACCTTAGAAGTTGAACCGGAAGAAGAAGTAGATACAGACGAGAAAGGACCATATATTTTACAAAGTGAGGTGGAAAAAGCTATCAAGGAAATGAGGAAGGGAAAGGCTACAGGAGATGATGATGTACCTGGAGATGTGCTCAAGTTACTGGGAGAAGATGGTTTGAAAACACTGACAAAACAAATGAACACCATATATGAAATTGGAGAGTGGCCCAAGGACTTTACAGAAGTTACAATGATTGCCTTAAAGAAAAAGACAAAAGCTACAAAATGCAGCGACCATCGCACAATAAGCCTTATTGCACATA